CCTCCGCAGCAGAGCTCCCACTATTACTATAGTTACAAAGTTTTATAAAGTTATAAAATTATATTAAGTTAGGCAAAGGTTAACTTTATAGTTACACACATATGCTGAATGTGGGCAACTCAGTCCCTAATATTTGGTGTCTTCAGACAAAAGCCATCCCTGCTCTCTGGCTATATTAAAAATCATCACGTATGTACTCTCTGAATTACTGATGCTGAAGATGGAGTGAAGAGGCAAGCATCCACATTTCCACCTGAGCAAACCCTACCCCATACGATGGGCCTTGATGTCCCTTCCCCTGCCAGCATGTCTTCCCGCAAGAGGGAGCCATGAACCAGCTCATGGGCTCCACAAGCTGCAGAGCAAGGCTGAAGGTGCATTCTGCTCAGTGAAGGACCCTCCATCCCTACACATGGCTGGAAATTCAGCTTCTTTCCTTCCTGGAAATACTGTTCTTTCTCCACAGCCCATCTCTTTTTTTTTGGCTCATCAGTCCCAATGGTCTTTGTTAGATTTTCCTCCTATCAGCCCACACTTTTCTAGAAGTGCAACCTCAGACGTGGTCATGGGGAGCTTCGCCTTCTCCCCACTGACCACCTCGCCTCATCTATCCCACTATGGTACTTGCTTGGTTTCCAAATGCATGACATAATGGGAGAGATTCAGCTGCCTAAATTCAGGCATCTAGTGTTGTGTTATGGGATATGCTGCCTGGTCTGTATTTGCCTCTCCAGAAGCATCCGAGTATCCCATAGACCTCTGTCCTGTTCAGATATCTTGGATGCTCCAGGACATCTATAGTGATATTGTGTTCAGACAGCTGAATCCTCCCTGGGTGTAGGAATCAGCTCAAAGATTTGGACAATTAAAGTAGGTGTCTCCACATAGGGGTTTATTTGTGTGTTAGATAGCTGATACACTGCTAGGGTCATAAAATGTCTTGAAGAGATGCAGGAGATATTTCTGGACACATGAATTTGCTGTGTTCATTTTTATTTTTAATCAGAATATATTGATGTCTGTAGGATATCAGTTTGATAGAATACTGAAATTTTTTAATTTGTCATCAGAACACCCTATTTTCCCCCCATGCCCCTTTCCAACTCCTTATAATGTTATAAATAAGGTCTGCTTTTCAGCTAGTTCGAGAAGCACTGCACCCCAACTGTCATCAAATTCTGCTGATTTACATTTCTATAACACAAATCTGTATAAGTGCTTGAGGGAAGCAGAGGTTTCCAATAATTTTAGTGTCCCAGGTTACTTCAAAGCTCTCCCAGGCCCATTGACTGAAAGCTTCAAAATGAATGAGAAGTCCTCCCTTCTCATGCATACTCCTTTCCTCACTCTCTCAAAGGAATGTGAGTCCAAGGGAAAGATTCATAGTTTTCTGAATCTACTGAAAGAAGAAAACAGACATTTCAAAGGATGGTGGAAGCTTCTTTGCCATTTCTGTCTGTCACTCGGATGGATTTATGTGTTCTTCAGCATATCCCTGGATATGCTACTCCAGGACATGTAGCTACAAAGATTTCACCTGTCAGACACTTCCCAGGAGCCATCATCATGATTTCAAGATGAGAATTACCTAATGGAGATCTTTATGGCTTCAGGACCCATGGCTAAGGCTCTTGTACGTCCAGACCCTCTGCATCTTTAGGAGAAGTCAATCCATTGAGTCACCTGGTTTTCATCCGATATTGATGACTGCTACATGCTTCCACAGCAGTTGCAGCAGGGATGCAGGTATCCTCTAGAAATACCTGTAAATACCTACCCATCACTTATCATGCTCCCATCAGAGGTTGTACCTATCCATCACTTACCATGCTCCCATCAGAAGATGTGACCTTGCTGGTGGGATTGATACCTATACAATATATATTTCAGGCTATGGCTTTTGTTAAATTAGCAAATGTAAATGTATGAGGTGAGTAGGGATTCTACTATACAGGCAACCTATCTCGATGTGGAAGTCTGGATTAGAAAGATCTACTCCACAGCAGAAATCATTAAAGGATTTATCTCTGTTGCCCAGAAGAAAGAGAAACAGCCATCTTCCAAAGCATGTCTATCCCACCTGCCTCAAACACAAATCACAGACAGGGTTGAAGTCTCCTCTGGAAGTTTTTGTGACTCCATTGACTCCAAGGGAAAACTAGAAAATGATGTTAGATTAGACAGCTGGGGTGGGTTTCATCCCATCTCTTTTGGAGGTTGACAGTACAGATCCCTCCATCTGAAGTAGTCTTCTGCATTCCCTTCATGGTCAATGGAGAGAAGCAAACAGTGGATCAGTCTACCAGAGCATCACACTGTAGAAGGGACACTGGCTAGCTGAGTGACTCCAGTGCAGGCTCTAAACTGTAGACATCTCAGGTGGGGTGAGGGGAACCCCACTTGTAATTTGCATGTACCTAATGTGAGACATACTCCTCCAAAAGACAAAAAATAGCAGATCCCAAATCATGGGTGATTCATCTTAATAATGTTAATCACTAAAATAATGATTAGAATAACTCTGCTCAGAGTTCTGCAGCTGTTTGCATTTTCATACCCTGCATGGAAATGCATGAAAAAGTCTCTAGCAGTCCTGTCTGCTGGTAAACTGGGAACAGCTCTTTCATGTGACCATTGCAATACTGGGCATGAGCTATTGACTGTATGGAGGGTTGGTGACTTTCTCCAACCCCAGCTGTAGGTCAGCTGCAGAACTGATCATTAGGCAAGGGCAAAGCTTTCCCCATGTGTTAGTATCTCTTCTGTGATCCGTATAAAACACATCTCACCTGGAATAACCTGGAAGAGGAGAAGAACAAACAAGAGCAAATGAAGTGCAGAGGCATCAAGGAAGAATGAGATAGCACTCCAAATCCAAAGATTTTTTCTGGGATAACATTTCTGATCATAATTTGAGGGGGATTGTGATTGCATAAACACTTACAGCCTGATAGTAAGGATATTCATGTGCAGTGGCTGGAAATTATAGGGAAAGATTTTGAATGTAAGATTATTGTACAAGCAGTTCTCTGGCAGGTTAACACACCTGAGGTTTTTCATTTGTCCTTCACTTCTCATGAAAAGAAAAAAAAAAAAAAAAAAAAAAAAAAAAAAAAAAAAAAAAAAAAGCAAACGTTTCCGGTCCATTATTAAACAGAACAGGACCATTTTTTGCAATTTTAAAAACAAGTTTGCAGAACTAGAAAGCTGGGTTCCTGCTCCAGCCTGACAAAGTAAAATGTCGGATCCTGTCTGAGAGCTGAGATACTCCCCTTGGCTTCAGTGGGAGCCTGAGACAACTGAAGATTTCTTGTCAAGGTCTCTGTTTCATCCGTTTCCCTGGAGTGCCTAAAAATGGGCATAAAGAGCTCTCCCGCCACATGCCTTCCTGGGGGACACAGTGGCACCTGCAAATTTGAAATGAAAAGCTAACAAAGAAACCAGAAAGGCAGAGAACAATTCACATTGACTAAGGGGAAGGTTTATATTGTTGATATCAAGGCCACTGGGTCAGAACAACATGAATAAATATCATATATAGAAACAGGCTCAAGTGACACTGGTTTCTTCTGCTCTGAAAGAGAACCCAAGCTGTCAGCTGCCATTTCAATATGACTGTTGGTAGCACAATTCAAACACTTTATGGACAGATCCTTATGAAAACTGCATCATTAATTTCACTTGTCTTCTGTTCTTTGTACACCTTCAAAACTGAAGATGCTTCAAACTCTGATAATCTGCACCTCATGTATGACTCTGCTGTATGTCCTGTGACGCAACGCTGGTTCCCAAGAGATTTTTTTCTCTACAAAATGACCACAACCAGAAGTTCACAACTGAGAAGAACATTTAGGAATTTCCCCAGTTGCCTGAGAACAGAGATGACAGCCATCCGAGAGGCCCTGTGACATTACAAATGTCGATGACTGTCTGGGGCTGATGGGTATCATGCAGGAGCAATGGGGGATCTGCACCCTCCAGGAGCAACAGCTGGAGGTCGGATGGGATCCCTGAGGCATCTTTAATGACAGTAGATACTCTTAGTTCTGGACTTGGCCAGCTAAGTACAAGTACCTACAGTGCACATTTCTGCATGTGTGTTGGCTCCTAAGGTCCTACTGTAGCCAAACAAGTGATGCGAGTCCTAGAACCACTGATTAAACATCTCATTCTCATGCAGCCACATCCATTCGGACATTGCACATTTCAGTGTCTGAGTATAGCACTGACCACCACCATTCATTAAGTTTCAGTAGACCACTCGTGAGGGTCCAGTGACCTTTTAAGTAAGTTAGGCCATACACATGGCCCTCTAGTTCTATGAAGATTGTCCCAGAGGTCCTGTGTCTTACTGGATAGTCCCAGGAGATTCTTTGGATACCCTAGAGCAGCCCACATGACTTAAGCCTATATATTTGGGCAACTGAATTGTGTCCATAATATCAACAAAATAATATTTTCAGAAAGAAAATCAGTTGTTTACTTGGTTCAAATTTTATTTTTCAGTTAGGGAAATGAGGCAGAAAATCATTTATTTGCATTGATGAATAAAGACTGCTAACATTACAGCAGAACCTTGGATCTTCTGCTATACTCACCATCATCAACAGTCTTCTGGTTCTCCCAGGTGCCTTCTCTCACACCAAAATGAGGGCTAATTTCCTCTGGGTGGTCCATTACCAACCACCTTCCTCTTTGAAGGTAACAAGTAACTAAGTTCTCCAGGTGGGTCGGTATTGAGAAGCAGCCTTCTCAGTGGCCAGGTAGGGAGGTATAATTACTTCTCTGCTTGTTTTTGTGACCCTCTGCCATTGTTCAGGTTTAGCCATGTGCAGCGGTCAAGCTGTACTCATTGCCTTCCACACTCATCACTGCCAAGGTCCTCCGGACAGTCAGGTCTATTCCCACAGCCTTATAAATGCAAGAGTGCTGCCTCCTCCCCTGCTCAAAGGTTCTGGCACTGTGGCCCTGTCTCCACGCTGCAGCTGAGACCTTCCACCATGCAGCTTTTCTCCTTCCTCATGGCTCTTCTCCTCTTCCTCCTCCAGGCTGTTCCAGGTAAGAGGCAAGACCCACGCTGGGGTCTGCCTGTGTAAGAGGTACAACTAGCTTGTGTGGTGGTGCAGAATGTATTCCTCTGGGCTCTTCAGCTCCTCCCATCAGAACCATTCCCTATTTATCAGTCTAGAAGCAGAAGTGAAAAATGAACTTATGATGACCAGATGTCAAACCAGAACCTCTCCACAGAAGCCACTACTGGGTGTTGGCTCCTTATGACTCTCTTAAGTCTATGCCACTTTTTGGTACTGCTGGAAGGTCCACTTCATGGAAATCATCTGCCTCTTCTTACCCCAGGGTCATAAATTTTCTCCTCTGTATAGTGTAGGAGAGTGGCAGAGGTATTCCCTTGTATTACTCAAGTTGAGCTACACCAGTGAAGTTTACTTTAGCTCTCTGAATAGGCTGGTTCCCCTTCCTCATCCCTTCTGCTGCACTTACTCATTTACTGATTGTACTTTTAGCTTAGCTTTTCTTCATGGCTAATAAAATTCTCCATCTTGGAGTAAGGCTTTCAGAGAAGGGAGGAACTGGGCAAACATTTTGTCCCCATTAACTGGGCCAGATCCCAGCTTTTGATTTTTTTTTTTTTTTTTAGGTCATAGGTACATATCATGTCAGGGTATACTAGCACCATGCTGTCCCTTGCATGACCAGCCTACAGCGTTTCATTCGCAGAACTTAGAAGCACCCAAAGTCTGGGCTGTCCCTATCCGCTACAACATGCATACCAAGTATATGTTCAGAAACTTGTCATCAACGGCTACATTTTTTTCTCTAGTTGTACAAATATTTTCCTCAGAGTCCTGCGAGGTCCCATGAGGCTTCTTAAAACTTTTAGAAAAGCTGCCTTGGGCTTTGGGGGTATTTGTATCAGACCCTTAATTGGGGTCCAAGGAACTTCAGCAGGAGGAGGACCATGAGAAATGGACTGAGCCTGCAGCACAGCTGGGAATCTCATTCTTCCTGTAGGTCTTGGCTTGCCCAAAGACACCTTACGTTGTGTTGGACACCACGGTTTCTGCTTCCATTCAAAATCCTGCCCAGAGCCATTTGCTGCTTTTGGAACTTGTTCTTGGCGTCAGAAAACCTGCTGCATAGGTATGTGTGGAAACCCTGCCCAGGTAGGCAACGTTTGGAGAGGAGATTACTAAGGTCAGCAAAACATAGTCTTACTCTCTTTTTCTCCAAATGGCCTAAGGCATCTCCTCCCATCAACAAAGATGGACTTGTCTGTTCCTCCACTAACATCAACATGGAGCACAGGAACAGACTTGCCATTTTGGGCTGATCAAATACCATGTAGCCCAACGTCCTATCTCGAACAGAACAGATGCCTGGGAAAATGAAAATAAAAACTGTGGTCCACACAGAGTTCTCCTTCCTTGATATATTTTCCTATAATAGTCTGTTGGGAGACTGCTGACTGGATCCATACTGCTATGTTTAATGGGTGCCAGCTGACCTCTTGTAAATTTATCTAATCCTTTCTGGACCTGCTTATTTTTGGAGATCCTCAATTGTCAGAGTCTATCATTAAATCAGTACATGCTTTATAGCCAACTGTGCTAATCAGACATAAGGTTCAGCTGATCCAGCATCCTGTATCTGTCCACAGCCAGAAATAGATGTTTCTATAATTACTCTGTGTGTGTAAAATGACTATTAATGAACACCGCAACCATATAATTACACTTCCTTATACACTTTCTTATATATTCTCCTGGCTTTCATGCATTTGCAGCTCAGGACTTTTAAATTTAAACATTTTTATGTTTAAAAGACCTTACTGTATTTTTCCCCCTTAGTTTAGGAATTCCTTCTGGTTTTGGTGGGTTTTTTTTGTTGTTGTTGATTTGGGGTTTTTTTGTTGTTGTGTTTGGGTTTTTTTAAAAAAAATCCCCTCTCCCCTCATAATTTTATTCAGTACCACACACTTCTGTACTGCAAATGATATGTAGTCATTCTGCATCCACCTTCCTCATACCTTTATTTTATGATATCCCTCCTTCAGTTGTTTCTTTTCCAAGTTGGTGGGTCACGAATTCCTCTTTTTACAGAAGTGCTCTGATAAGCCCCATTGTCCATCTTTGTGTCTTTGCTTTTGGAGACACAATAATGAGAAATTCATGACACTTTCCCTGTATGAGTTGGTTCAGATGCTGGTGTAATGTTTTTTCTTTGACTTAAATCCTTTTCATTGTAGACACAACATCAAACTTCCATACTTGTCAAGACGAGGGGGGTCATTGTGTGCCTCCAGAAATCAGATGTGTGCAGGAACAAGTGGGACTTTGCCCTCACAGAGAATGGAAGTGCTGCACAGAAGTATAATAAAGATCTCACAGAACTGAGGAAAACCACAGAAATTAATGGCTAAGGGAAAAAAAAAAAAAAAACAAAACATTTTCTTCCTAGTGTTGTAGAGATGTCTGCTGTTCTCAACGTGCAAAATGTATAATTAACTAGAGGCGGTATGTTTCTTTATATAACAAAGGCAATAAATACCAAATAAACATGTCTAGCAGTCTTATATATATGGAAAGAGGCAGAATGTCTCTTTATTACTCCCACTCAAAGAAATCCACAGAACCTTTGCTGTAATGTCCTTGGAAACCACATCCCCTCGTAATACAATCTTCACCTCCCTCCCTTTTCTGTCTTCCTTTCTTCCTTCCTTCCTTTACTTCCTAATAGAAGGAAAGACAGAATCTTTTCTTTCTATTAAAGTGATGGAAACAAGGACTGCCCAGCTGGCATGATCAGGACATGTCTACACTATACAACTCCCATTGTCTAAAGCAAGATGCCAGTCAACTGCTCTTCCTCTCCTCCCTATTTCTACCAATAAACTGCACCCAATTGAGCACAGGTACTACCTGTGGGAAGTCTTCCTGTGTGACTGGGCAAATCTATCTAAAACTGTCTATCTAAAAACGTTATATGCAGTCTGTGCTTCCCACTCTGGTAAGGTTGAATTTATTAACTACAGAAGTTTCACTCAAAATATAGATGAAAAACTGTTTGCTTCTGAGCGCCTTCTCCGTGTACTCAGCAGCTCCCAGTCGTGACTGCTGGCTTTCTAATTTCTCCAGCTAAAGGCTGAGTAGCTGGACATCTTTGCAGAGGAACGTGAGGAGGGGTGGCATTCATCTCCCAGATGTTTAAAAATGACCTTCTGAGCACAAGCTATGATATCTTTCTTGGATGGGAGGATTTCAAACCCTTCCCACACAGGACAGAGAGCCCCTTGCAGCAGTAAACTTCCATCATCCTGTATCTCAGCAACTAAAACATCCTTCCCTCTGGCCTGAACTAATGCAAATGTCTCGTTCACGTCCCCACCACCCACTTCAGAAAGGTCATTCTCTAAGCCGGTGTTTTAACCAATCTCAGCCAGTCATGCTAGGCTGCTCTTCTGGACTGCAGAGAGGAACAGGTCCACTGGCAAAGTCATTATGCTTATCCCTCACTGACCAAGGAGTGACCCCACTCTTAGCATTTAGACAGGTGAGATGACTTTGGGCTAACAGTTTTTTCCTCTATTCTTATGATGTGCAAAATTATATTGACCTCTGCCTTTATTTTGGTATCTGCATCACCTCTCCATGTGACCATATAGGTAACCAACCAATAGCTTAACAAGGATTCTTAGTAATTGGTGATGAATTCATCTCAGGTGGGCTCTCCAAACAGTTGTTCAATCTAATTTAATTCATTTTCTCCTAGGAATATTAATTCTGCAGTAAATTCTTTGCACTCTTAATACCTCTGAGGGTGCTTTCTACCATGTCTGTTGCTGGTAATTCAAGGAGTATTTTAAGTAGGTGTTCTCCAGGTTTGTGTCACAAATCAAACAGATGTGTGTGACTTGCAGCTGGAAACAGCAGAACCCTTACAGAAGCTACATTTTTAACCTAGGATGGAGTTCTAAAGAAGAAGTAAGATTTAGAAATTATTTGAGGGTAGTTTTTTAAGCATTTTGGCTTTGACTGTTTTGCCCTTTATGTTTTTTGCTAGAGAAGAAGGAGGACAATTTATGTAATGACACACAAGGGAAAAAAATTCTCAAGGGAGGAAAAAACCCACAAATATATAAGCATTATGTAGTAGATGCCAGCCCAGGCTTATGGTCTGCCTACACCAGTCGATCTGTGCTATTTTCGGAGTTTTTAATGTCAGCAACTTTTCCTGGAGGACTCTTGGAAGGAGAAGTGAGAACAGGTGGAAAGAGAATGTTGCAGATGGCTTGTCTGCTTCAGAAGTGGGTGGGAGAAGATGATTTTCTCTAGGTTCATAAGAAACTGAGTTTTTCTGAGAAAACTGTGACAGTGTCTGAAGGAAGGTGCTGTCCCTGGCTCTCTGCTTTACCCTGATGCCAGACATTGTGCTGTGGGGGAGTCATCAGAGGAAAACATCTGCTTGCAAAGCTAACTCTCTATTACAGTCTTCTTGATTAACCTGATGTTGCTTACCAGCATCGTGTTGGTGGTATGCTTGGAGGCCTTACACGATTGAGGACAATTAAGCTTTTTTTATTGAAGGAAATAGCTAATAAAGAAGCGAAACACAGAGGTAGTTTGTAGGTGAAAGACTGCTCTTAGGTCACTCCACAATTTCATTATGGCTCTGATGGTTGGATGACACGAGCAGAGCAAGGTCTGTACACAGAGAAAGCCAACTGGCACAGCTGGAAAAGTTGGACAGGTTTGAGTACACAAGTCTTTATCCAGACCTGAAACAAAAGCTGCTCTTTCAAAGCTCGATCCAAGTTGAGAAAAATACCTTGTTGACACATCCTGGATGGTCTGTGGAAAGCAGAGAATTTAATGAGCCAGGATCCACTTCTCCACTAAGAAACATTCAGATATCCAGATGTCATCACACACCATGCCAGACATGAACACTGCCTACTCCTCCCCATGATTTACGTGGCTTTTCCAGGGTAGGAAGGATTTAAGTGATATTTAATTAATCAATAACAGTGGCTCTGAGTGCCCTGCTAAGCTGTTTACAGGTCATGCCCCAACCCGAATAGCTGATCCAGCAGCCTCAGGAGAAATTTCTGTTACAGAGAAGATGAGGTTATCACCCGTTATCAACAGGCACTAAGATGCTGCAGAAAGAGAATTAAAAGTTGAAGAAGGAGTCACCCATTGGAGAGTCATCCTGAGAGTTTAGACTGGGCTTGAAAAACATAGTAGTTCTGCTTCCATTAAAAGAAATTCCTGATAGAAGGGTTTTTGGGCACAGACCTCCTTCTGCTTTGCTTCTCTGACTCTCTTCCCCCCCTTTCCCTTCTTCCCCTTTCCCCCCTTTCCTCCTCCCAGTGCCAGTGCAAGTTATTATCCAGAAAGAATTTATTTAAAAATCTTAATAGCTTAGGTGTTTCTGTCTGGTCACACACTGCCCAGAATCTGCACACCTCACTATCTTTCAGACAGAACGACTCTCAGTGTGCCAAGGAGTAACTGCAACACTGACTCCCCCTTGGGACCCTCCATGTCTGCACGCACAGTGGTCTTTAACCAGCACAAATCCAACGCAAAATCTAGAGGTGCAAGCATCAGACAAGCCTTTGAGAAATGTCAAGGATGAAGTCCTGATGTGCACTGCACCACTCAGGCAGTTTATTGAATTCTGAACACAAAGTAAATGTTGGGCTTGTTCCAGCTGTCTCTCAGGCTATGTTGTGTCTGTAATATAAGCAGAGCCAGGCTAAGATGCTGGAGTTGGATAGTCTACATCAGTAAATTGCCAGTGTGGTCTTTGGCATGGTCTTGTCTGTGTCCGTCATTTTTTTTTGAGTGGTGGAGGGTGTTTTGGAGGGACGGGATTCAATGAATATGTTTAGATCAGACAGAAGATGGGAGGGAAGATAGCAAGGAAATAATTTGCAAATCAAACCCAGATGCACTGGATAACCAGATGACCGATGACAGATGTATCCTTGGACTAACAGTTGTGCTTTGCTTCCACAAAGCATTTGGGCACATGTGTAGCCCTAAAATCCTGAGTTCTCCTGATGGATTCAAAGCCCAGTATCATACTGCCAGTCAGTGCAAGCTGGAGACAGAGCCCAGGTCTTTCCTGATCCTTATATCTTCTAAACTGACAACTCACTCTCAGAAAGCTCAGTACATTTTCATGGCAATTCAGTATCTGAATTGCTACAACTGTTCTAGTAAACTGAACAGTCTCAGGGCCTCTCCTCTATCCCTGAGGCCAAATATCATAATCTGACCATGTTCATCCTCTCTTCTCCTCCAGAAACAGATGGCCAAATCCAGACTGCCTGGTCAATGCAATCCCTGATCCCAGACACCCTTGGAAATTGTTTGGGAGAGAGATATCCTGCACAAAAAACCTTTCCAGGGATATGCTAAGCATTTAACGGTTTGGATGATCAAATCCCAGTGCTTGTGCCTTGCCGTGCTTAGTTTGCTACTGAAGATATAGCCAAGAAGTTCAAGTTTTGATAAAGGGAAAATGTGTGAGAGAAGATTAATATATTTTTTTAATAAATATTATTTTCTAAAACCCCATTTTGTTTTGTTTTGTTTTGTTTTGTTTTGTTTTGTTTTGTTTTGTTTTAATGAAATAACCTGATTTATGGCCTATGACATGACCCACTAAAATCAAGTCAAGTCAATAAATGGGCTATAGTCCCTGATCCCACTGAGTTTCCCTGCATGTAAATGCACCCCCACACCACAGCAGAGTTGGCCTCTCTTTTCCAGTCCCCTGACACATGGCTGGTGTCTCCATAAACCTGTTTTCCACCTCCCTGAGTCTTTTCAACCAGTGATGGTCCTATGCAGGACTCAGGCTACACTTAGGTGCCTGGGATATGCCAACACAGTGACCAAGGTTCTGCACAACAACCTACAAAGACTGGTCAATGTTACACCATGCTCTGCTGCCGGTATATGTATATAGATATATATATTAGGATGAACTGGAGAAGATGTGCTGTCCTGAAAATATCCCATTCCATCATGTAGGTTAGCCATGGGAACCTGGGATCTTCTTTAAAAAATGTCCCCATGTCTGTAATCAACATTATAATGACAGTGATAATGAAATTTCTTTCTTACTTTGGCATGTCTTTCTTGCCTCTCATTCATTTGTAAAGGATACTTTTTCATCTGAGACTTGGAGGTGAATTGATGTTGATTGAAGTGTGATTTACTCCCATGTTGAACATGAAGGTTCTTCCAGAGGTAAGGCAAAGATACTGTCGGCACAGCAGATGAGGAATCAACATTGTAATGACTTTAACCATTGAGCCTTACTTTAATTTTCTTTCTTTTCACTTTATTTCCATTAGTTTT